CTTCAATTCACTAAATGCATAAACCTTCTATACACCACTCTATTTTAAGGCTGCTTATCATTCACTTAAAATTTCTTTCCAATCCTCAGATATTTCATCAGGCATTGTTTTTATGGTGGACAGAATATGGCGCTCCACTAAACGATTTAAACAAAAGTAGAATAATAAATGGACAACTATTTGAACACATTTTTTCTAATGTATCATATGTATAGACGAGCAACATGCTTTTAACCCTTATCTAATTAAATATGTATCCAAATTTCAGTTCACTTATATTTCTGTATGTTTAGTAACATGCTTTACGCAATCAGCCGATTTGCACTATGAATATTTCAACATTATAAGTCAGTGTACTTTGTGAACGACTACAATAAGAATGACTCATGCCCAGCATAATTTCCACAACAGTTTTAGCCGGTTAGACTTTCATTTTGTGTTGTTGTTAGAAAACTAAATATATGACATATATTGTATAGAATAATATAAAACTTCGTTAATTAAGTTTTATTGTTACAATCATTTAGTACGTTGTATCGACTAGCCGGCTACTCAGTTAACCGATGAAAAAATATGTTACCTGATTAACCATACTGACTATACCTTTTTTCTACATAAAGATACAGATAAGAACACAATAGTTCATGAGATAAACTTTGGAACTTGACACTTATCTTAAACTGTTTATGGTTCACAATCTGCAGGCATTTATTTCAGTTACAAAGTAGGTAGGTACCTTGTGAGCCTGAATAGCTCATTAGTGATGTCTATGTCTGCAGCACTGACTGACTATGGTTCGAATCTGTAAGGCTGCATCAATCCCGTCAGGGTGCAGAAACGCCTTGCTGACGAGTACTATTAAGCACAAGAACCTGTTGACTGCCTCCAGCCATCCAACACTGTTATATGTAAAAAAGAAAGATTGGTATACTACATAATATTCATTGACTGAGATGATTAGTGTATACCACTCACATCAACCAGTAGTGCTTGCTAGACAGATCGAAGTGATCTAAAAACCGGACTACAGTTTTACCCTTTTGCGACCGGATTCATCAACGATGTACTAGGTTTGACTTGGTTCAGAGGACTAAATCAGTTTAAACCAGCCGAATTTTCGCCCCAGTCAATCTGTAGTACATAGTGTTATGCATTTATGCTTTCATTTCTTGATTACCACTCATGGTATTCTGGCCTGAATTATATCTGTTTCCAAGGGAAACTGTGGTGAAATCTCACCTAGAACCTTATAAATTGCTAATTTAATTTAAATTTTGGTATTCCGAGAGAGTAAAAGAGATACAAAGTTGAAATGCAGTTAATGATAGTTTTCCAAACAGAGCAGTTGATAAACAACCAAAAGGTAGAAGACAGTTAGCGAATAGTTTGACTTTTTTGAAAGTTGCACACTAATCCTACTGATTGATGATGATAATATATTTCTAACAAAATAATTCAAATGAAACCATCACTTGGTCAATCTATTTTCAAGTTCTATGAAAATATACTAATGATTACCTCTCCCACATTTTTCGGTCAAAAAATTCAGAATTCTGAGCGTGACTGAAAAAATTTCTTTGGACTAATGGAGTTTAGTAATGTCATCGGAAATGAATTTTCTTTTATGTAATTACTTCCCAACTGTAGGTAGACAAGTACTACCGTAGGTGACAAGTGAAAACTAACTTTATGACTTTACTTGTGTATATTTTTTCCATTCCTCTTTGCATTTCTAGTGTAACTTAGTACTTCAGGTTTTTGTTGTTTAAGTGACGATGGTTTTCCTTTTCATGAGGTGAAGTTGTTAGCCTCTGCCTAATCTTCACCTTCTCGAGCTTACAGCTTGATAATAAACTGGGTGAGGTTTTAGGGATTCTTCGGCTAGAAATTGTATCCAGACCTCCCTGAAGAAAAACCACCATCTCGTTTAATTTGATAGGGGGATTTTTGAAAAAACTGCATTATAACTAACAGTATACGCTGATTAATCTTTGAATTAGAGTTAATTTGAATATATTCATAGAGTGGTTTATATATTTTTTTTATTAGATAACGTATTTTTTATAAAACATTGGTTATACAGTAGAATAATTTTAACGCTGTTTTAACTGCAGAATTACAATTTTTCATTAGTGATATTTTATGTTGTGCACAGTATTCACACACGCACACACATACTCATATTTCAGAGAGCTATAGACATGCAGTAAAGCTATGCACTTTTTCAAATTCTAGGGAATAAAAATTATACTCATTGTTCTATCCTAGGTTATATTGAGTTTTACCGATATTCACATGATTGTGATAGGATTACTGCAGAATTCATAATGCCGACTGATATGGTAACTTGCTGATCAAGATATACAATCCCACTGCTGACCATTATGTGAATGCATGAAAGCATTTCTGATATCCTATTAAATAACAAAATTTACATCAATAATGAGATATACATAACCTTCTTAAATGAATCTAAATTACGCGTTAACTGATTAGGCTGGACAGAAATACTTTGACTAGTACGAACGCTTCGACAATGGCTGGATATAAGCATGATGCTAGTTGATTGGTGACTAGTCGGGCTATTCAAGACACGCGTTTCGTCCCACTTGGGATTCTTCAGATGAATATACTTGCTTTCCATTGAATGACGGTGTTGTCGAAGTTCAAGATAATTCAGACGAATAACAACTGATACGCATTAGACAGGAAGTGACTATCATGGCCTGGTTACTCAGTGAATAATGCTTTCGAATTCGAAACGATTGTTGCTGAGTTTGAGTCCCAGTTGGAATATCGCCACTCACTGAGGAACAGATATATTCCATCTAGTGAGTCCCAAATAGGATGAAGTGCTCTTCGTAGATTCCACTGCTACCTACCACCAATCACTGGGTACTTAGCTTACATTTACTTCTGATTTGTTTATTCTTTGCAAAAGTTGATGATTGTATGCATTCGAAACATATATGAATATCTTTACTGTAGTCACAATGTCGTCATAAAATAATTCGTAAATGAAGTTAAAGGTCAAAGTGAAGTGATTCATTTCATTTAAATTTTGAAAACTCTTCTATTCATATTGGTTTTAAACTTGAAGAGCAGCTAGCCTACGACTGTAAATGCATGGTAAAGTGATGCGCCCTTTACAGTTTGCTCAAAGTTAAGTGAAGTGACATCTACAGGGCCACATATGTTTCACTATATCACAAAGTTTATTATAGTTCATTCTTTGCGTTCCGAATGTAACATTGGGCACAAAGTGACACATCTCCATCTCACTAGGTTAGTTGTCATCACTTTCAGCTGGTCATATGACTGTGTACAATCTTTTATTTCCTCTTTACATGGTCTTCTCCATGCCACTCTCGGATGTCTGGCTCATAACTTTCAGTCAGGGACTCACTCAAGGGTCATTTTATTAAGTTTACTGTTGACTGGCGGTACTATGTCACTTTGTTAAATTCCAAGCACACATTACTTCTGATCTGTTTATATTCATAAAAACATATGAATACATCTCTCTGAAAATGATTTGTACATTCAAACTCTTCGGTGAATGAAATTCTACCTACTTCGCTTATTACAACGGGTTTCTTACAGTTATCTGGGCTTTCTACAACAACTACTACTATTGCTCCTCTGAAATATTCACAAGCACATTGTTCCCTTTCAATTCATTCTTGATTAAAATCTCACCAGAGTAATCCAGTTGATCATTTTTACAGAAGATAGCATCCTCATTTAAGAGACCATAGTGTTAAGTATTTTCGAAGCACCGTTTTTTCCAAATTTAGTGAGGAATTTCAATGTAGATCCTGATAAAGACTTACGAGGTAAATGATTTACTCTACTCGAATGTCCCATTTCCTTCAAGTAGCAATCAAAAGTACCTTATTGGGTTGATAGTTTAGTACAATATTTGTTATCATATTCAGCTTTATTTGAATGAATGCATACCTAACATTTGAATGATTATGATTTTCAGGAATTTGACTGGTTTCAAGTAAGACCGCGAACCAACACCAATTAGAGAACCTTTGAAAATCACTTAGTACTTGACAGATGTCTCGTCCTAGTCCGGGACTCCAGCTGACTCTCGCTGATGCTAGTTCATGATCTGACTTAAAATCAATCAAATCCCTGCAAACAAACACTTGAAAATTATTATAAAACTCACTGGTTACTGAATAAAAGACGTAGTGCTTCGGATTCCAATGCGATATCGCAATCCATGGTATCCACCAAGTCAGGTGTAAGGACAAATACTTGCTGACTGGCTGTTGATTGAGCTATATATTACGAATCGGCAGAGGTTGGAATTTCCAGGCCATTGAATTCTATCCCAGTGGTGGAATGCTCAAAAGGCTCACCTCGTAACATGAAGGCTTTAGGTCCAATCTTAGGCTGAAACGCGGGTTCTCATTTCTTAGTAGTCACACAATTGAGTGAAATAGCTGTTCATGAGATAAAAACATATTAGGAATGACGATGAAATTAAGCCATGCAGGATAAATCAATCTCACTAGCATAGCTGCGCCTTCACTATTAAATGGCTAACGTGAGAAATCCTCTGTGAACCCTATATTCCTTTTAATTTCACTACTATTCATTTGCCTTTCCCTTATATAGAAAGTTTCCCCAAGCACCCCAATTTACTAACCTTCTAATCTGCAATCGAATTGTTTCCATCTGTGCCTAAATACATAAAAGCGAATTTTTTTGCAGTAGTGGTGCAATAACAACGAACTCCACTCTGTCCGTCCTTAGTCAATTACAATAATTCCAGGTGTCACTTTAGAAGTGAGGAGTTGGTTTTCATTTAGTTAATGTTTACAATAATAATATCAGTTTATCCCACTGAAAATCTTCATAAATGAACGTAACTTTTTGTATACTCATTATAGACAGCAAATATATTTTTGAATAGGTAGCCAATAATATCAATTTTTCATGATAATTATGTCAATACATATTTCTTCTACCTCTTACTTTCACAGTAATCTGTGCCTTATCAAAGCTGTATAGACAAGTCAACCAATTCGTCATTCCGCTGACAACAAAACGATGCGTTATGAAACAAGTGGGCAAATATTTGACTATTCCATGTTTTCAACTTCATCGAAAGGAAGAAAAGCGATAACTAAAGCTTCCATGATGATGGTTCAGCTAATGAATAGTGTAAAAACAACTGTTTTTTCATCGAATAAAAGTAGTAATCAAATGAATAATTCTTTATTTACAAAATCATTTGTGATGTCCATGTTGATGATTCTGTTTCTTATGGAAATTTCCGCAATGTAAGTTTATGCTACTTATTTTATATCTAGTAGTAATATACTGTTAGGAAATATTTACTCGTTAAGTTAGTTAAAGACAAAGGATAATGATATACTTGTTGATCTAACACATTGGTTTTTACTAATAAATCGACACCTGAAAAGTGAAGTTACAGTAGTTCTAAACGTAGAATAATAATTTTTCAGTCATGAAAGGAGTTATATATGCTTGTCGGACATAATGATATTTATTTTCGTATGTTGCTTTGCAGGAATTTGATTGATTTCAAGTTTCATTGTGAACTGAATTCAGTAAGAGAACTGTTGAAAACTTTGAAGTGTTATGTAGCTATATAGTTCTAGCTTTTTGTTTTCCAGCAGTACCTACCAGTCCCTTCACTAGGGATTGAAGGCAGGAAAATCAGGTTACAAGGCATGCGCGTCGACCGTTGAAATACCAGGAAAGAATCTGATCGTCCATGAATCGCAACTAATACCAATTTGCTATATATATTACTACGGCCAGCCAGCGTCGACGGCGGTATTTATCGGCACACCCAAACTGGTGAGAAGTCATGACCACTGGGGTTCACCGGGTTCGGTGTGAGGATAAATACTCGCCTATTATGCTGGCTGGGCCAACTATTTGATTCTATCCCAGTGGCCGAATGGTTAACGGGTTCACCTCTTAGCCTGAAGTTTTTAGGCTTATTCTGTGGGGGAATGATGAACGTGTGTTACTGAACAGTCCAAACTTGGACGAAATAGCTGTCAGTTATTCCATGGTTTCCAGTGCCCCTGTGACTGAAGTCAGGTGGCGATCAGACTTGAAATCATATTGTTCTTGTTCTCTATTCAACAACTCCTTCCTTCGGACTTAAGACCATGCCTTATCGTGTACTCAGATCTATCTACAAGATGCAGCTCAAGTCATGTAGTGCTGTGACTTTGGTACCATTTAGTTAATTTGTTGTATGAAACGCAGATTTCACTGTCTTCCAACATCAACTAGTTGACGGTTTCTATGAATATCACTCGATACCATAAATCAGTAATTGCCTTCAAGAATTAGTTTGTGGGGATTGTATTTGTTTCAGGTTAGACTACGGATTGATATGAGGTAGAGATTCATTGAAAACCAAGGAGTACTGGACAGCTGTTTCATCAGTGGCTCAAGCTGAAACAAATACAATCCCTTAGAACTAATTCTTAAAAAGTAATCTGATGCTCGCTAGTGACCGGCTACAGGACAAAGTTGCCTGGAGTTCTACTGGAAACTCGTGACCAGTGTGGTCCATCCAGTCAAAAGTAAGGATGGAGTTGCCGCCAATGACATTGGTTGGTCTGTCTGTTTTCAATATAGAACTTTGCACCGATATGCAGCAGTTCAAGTTGCCACACACCATATGTAGCACACAAAGCAAGAGAAGAAAGTAGAAGAAATGCAAAATAGAGACAGTAAACAGGGGTTTGAGACAAAAGGAATAATAGTAACGAAGAACAGTATAGTTTCATTGGGTATTATAAGTCAGAAAGAGTGGATGCATCGATTTTGAGCCATATCACTAACTGTCTCCAGCCACTGGTGTTTGCCGTACCGAGTACCCCAACCAGGAAGTCTACACCTTCCTACGTGGCTGGCTTCAACTAACTGTTTTGGATTTCATTGACTGATACCATGTTCTGATTTGACCACCACTGGCTCTTATCCAACCTGATCCTATGTCAGCTAACATTGCCCATTGTCGGGGGGGGGGGGCTTGTCATGCGTAACACATGTCCTAACCATCTCAGTCGATGTAGCTTCACAGCATCGTCGATTGATTTCCCCTCCTTACCTAGCACTCAACGCCTAACCTCAATATTGCTCACCATATTATAACGTTTCACACGGGAGATAGAACGCAGACACCTATGATAGAAGACAACTAGTCTTTTCAGGACGGAGCGGATTTTTGAGCAGAACACACGGCCTTTGGTAGACAGTCTGCCGGAAATCACATCTACTCCAGAGATGGCGTAAACTGGCATATGCGAAACTAGCCCTCTGTATCCGTGCTGAGATTTCGTCAGCGATCAAACCGTTGGGGCTGACATTGCTTGGTGGTCACGCTGAAATCACGAACCAGTGAAAGTTAGAATTCATGGCCCAATGAATCGGGTCCCAGTGGCTGAATTGTATACGAGCTTGCCTTGTAACCGAAGGTCCTTGGTTAGAAACCCAGTGAGTGCGTACCGCCAATGAATTTCAACCTAGGATGAAACAGATGTCCTTGGTTTTCAATGGTTCTGCAACTGATATCACTTCATGGTCTAACCACCTCAAAATACCTTGAAAACATGGAAAAAATAGTCTGAATCTTAGTAATAAACAAAATCACTGAGTCCCATCAGTCCTGCAGCTAAAAAGCAGTAAAATATTGTGATAACGAGTTTCCACCTTACTAATCTCTGATTATTAGAATCTATTATTTATTGTGATAAACCTGAATAGTGAGCAGCCACATATGTTGCACATTCCGCTTATGGTGAGACCATCAACACTGACTTTTAATTCCTACGTTCATAAAGTGACAAGCATTGACCCCAATTATTAATTAGGCTATTGATCTAAAGGTATATTAATTCTGACGTTTCAAGTGATTTCTACCACTGTTTTTCGACATTTTCAATGAAATATTGGTAACACTTTTTACATTTATTTCTTCTACAACTGTTTTATCTAGTTAACAGTGAATAATCTTCACAACAAAAAAAATCAGTTTACATAAAAGCAGTCAAACATTGTATTCATCTACATACTATTTGATGCTTTATTTTAGTTGTTCTACAATGAAAAAAATCCTGCATTGAACGTTTTTTAGCTTAAATGTCAAATTCTGTTGGTTGAATGCTAAAAACTGGAACACGGTACTGTGCCAAAAATAAAGATATTAAATGTAAAATAATAGGGAGAATAGAAACTATATAATCTATGTAAAACAAGATTAAATTTCAAAGTTATCCTAGATGATTATTTTAGGCCATTCAAATTATGTTTTCATGGTATTCACAAAAAATTTTAATAACTTTGTCAGTGCTAGTGGTGGTCAGCACAAACTCACATATAACTGTCAACGCTTGGAGACGCGGTTATTGACTGATTGCTGGATGCATAAAGGTAGAGGAAGGGATATGAGTTCCTTCGAAAATATGGATATAGCACTTCCTGTCTATTGCTTACAACCACATAAAAATGTTTCGAAGTACACTTTGATTCCGTTGGCCCTAGTGCAAAACTGACTGACATAATTCTGTCAGCACGACTTAAGATTAAACACATGACCCATTGACCAATCAGTGTAAAGAGAGGCTTTACACAATATTTGCTATTAATTTGTTTAGTCTCTGAATTAATAAGTGATTAATGAGTTGTATCCATAATTTTTCACCTTACCGTTAACAAGCCAAATAATTTCATTAAATCAGTCATAAAGCCGAGGATATTGTATTTTCATTATTCTTCTTGAGAATGTATCATTACCTAAGAGTTTGAAGCAAGCCAGTGCTAAACAGACGAAACTTCTTATGAAGTCTATAACTTACTGTTTTGTAACATCACGAGCTGACATCAGTAAGTGAACCACTGAAAATCAGCGAACACTGGCATACAGTGCTACCACCAAACAATGTCGGCCGATTGCATCCTCCATGGGGCCATACGTGCATAAGGCAGAAGAGTCCAAAATTAGAGCAGAACAACTGTCCATCACTCCCTGAATTTTAACGGTTCGCTCATTGATATCAGCTCGTTTTCTAACTTGAAATCAGTCAAATCCATGCAGATGAATACACTAAAATTTATTAATTTAGTCCAACTTTAAGTTGTTGAAGGCTATCTACAGGAAGTTCAGGCTGAACCCACACTTGGTGCTTATTTACACTTGTCAGCAAGGTGTATCTGCAAATTATAATGAACTAATGCCTCACGTTTAGAGATTAAAACTCCAATCACTCAGCGAAGAACTCAGAGATGTTACCCCTGAGATATTCGGGAGCATAGGTAGTCTCTTGTAGGGCTATAGTAGATTTATTGACTGCCTACCCCTAGAAACCAATCATTGTCACAACCAGAACAGAGTTACACTTCATTTGTTATCCAATGAGTTTCCAGTAGCTGAGTGGTCAACAGTCCTGCCTCGTAAGCTAAAGGTTCAGCTTTTCACCCTTGACGTAGTCATGGGTATACACTGATGAAGAGTTCTGAACTAGTGCGGCAAAACCGTTCAATGTATCCCTTTTTCTTAGCAGTTATTTAACTGACATCATCTCAAGGTCTATCTTGAAACCAATCAATGTACTTATCATGTTATTAAGTCTCTGAAACAACACTTTCCATGGATATGAATAAAGTAGTCTACGAAGATTTTATTTTCTCAACTATCTCACTAAGATGTAACTCGCAGCAATTGCTGGTGAAATATTATGAATAAATAACACCACAGTCCATGCTTGTGTTATTAAGTGAGACAGCTGGTTGTCACTGTGAATAATACTCGTTTGATAGCTTTTGTTAAATTATTTAAATAGGATTCCTGACATTTTTCATGCTAAATTTCATTTTTTTTTTGAAAGACTGTTTGTTCACTTTCAATCTGTGCGTTAACAGAATAAAAATATGTGAAATGGAATAAAAAATGACATGTAAACATTTGTGAGGTCAGTGACATAAATTATGCGTACCGAAACGAAAATGATAATAATATAGTCATTCAGGTCAATGTAACTTGCTGACATTCATTCAGTTTTTGCCAAATGTTTCATATGAATCCAATTTTGGTTACATCCTTTCCAATGAAAATAATTTTCATTTGTAAGGACGCATTGTCAGGGCCTTTCAGGGGTAGAAATGTTTATAGATCCTCCAGCTTCATTCACTATTCTGGAGCAGATGTGACAACTGTACCATGTACCCACTGGTTGGCTGTAGTTCACTGCGAAAGTGATAGAGCTTTGGGAATGTTTTTTAATGAGTTTCTAGTTTTGCACATCTGACTGATGATGAAATTGAAAACAAGATTATGACGATACATGGCTACAGACCTCTCATAGGTCATCCAAATCTTCTCTGAGTGATATTTTTCTAAATAGAAGTCTACCGAAATGAATACTACTAGAATTTAGGTTTTCTATTATTTACATTTCTTGGTGGTTCAGTGGCATGATGTTCGCCAGGATTGCAAGAAGTCCGGGTCTGATTCCTGACTAACATCCCCCAAAACCTCTCCTGGTTAACCAGTCAGTGGTATATCTTTAAAAGAGGAAAGGTTGGGCGTGAATATAACATCCTCAGACCCTAAAAACAATACTACCATTTACTTTTAATGCTATCTAGCGCCTCTAGAAATACTTAGGGTAAGAATGTGTGCGCTAAGAGTGAAATTTCAAATGCAGGTGGAATGATTTCATAATTTAATTATTAAAGCTTTCAGTGCAATTTAGATGGCGGCAATTATCATCATCATAATCCCAGAAATATTTTAAAGGCCCCTTGAAGCTATTACTTACATAAAGAAGGTTTAGTGTGATGTGTTCTAGCCCAACTTCAAAGAATTCGGATGTTTTGAAACAATTCGGTTGTCTGACCACAGTCAAACAGTTGATGAGCACGGTGTCAAATGAACCAAACGGCCGTCTAGTTATTAGATCACTTCGATCTAACCAGTAAGCTCTACCAGTTGACGTGAGAGATTCTCAGCGATTCATGTCACTCAGTATCTATGCTCGCTTTCTTCACCGGCAAATGTAGCATCAATCAGATCACATCTTATGCTTTAAATACTTTTGGTTTCCTGAAGAAGCTATGGAAAATTTTTACCTCGAACCGCATAATTTGCAAATCGCAAATTCAATCGCATGATATATATTGCTCAATGACTACTGAATACATATTAATTTGCAAACGTCATCTCACAGCCACCCTAACCACTAATGACAGTCACATTCATTTGATTCAAAGCTGATTAGTGGGATAAACTGAATTCTTAATTATGCAGTCTAACTATGAGTGAGTGTTACACGTATAGAATATTAGTTAAGTCATTTTTATCACGGGATAGATTCTGTCAAGGAAAATGACACAGTCACACACCAACACCACTGAAACTAATCTGTCGGTGGGCATAAAATCTGTCTACGTTATATTATCTCAAGAAAATAAAGTACAGAAATTTCTTACACGAGTTTCTTATCTACCCTAGGGTAAGTTTCCGCAAAAATTAACGTGAAACGTAGATTTCTGCTGAAGAGACTTTAATGAAAGGCAGCAAGATGTTCTCTTTGATCCAGGTTTCATACTTGGTGATGCTCATATGCAGTGTGCGTCCGTAATGCTGTCTATCTCAAAGTAACAGATTCGGCTAACATGTGAATCTGACCAAGACAGAGTTTAGGTGGATTGTATGAATTGAATATGAGTTTGTTGTTTGACGAAAACCGATGTGCCTGTTAAGTCTTTGGTTCTTATTGTAGTCTTTTCACTACGATTAAAAATCGTAGTGACTACTAAATTCTGATCATTTTATTTACAGTTCTGTTTACTTGATAATACTTCAATTATGTTTAATTTTGCGTTAACATGGCAAAGGGAGTATATAATTGTTAGATTTTTATTACCAATAAACTTGATACAACCGTTACTAAAACAAGAGAATAAACAGCACTAGAACAACAAGAAAGCTACACTGTTTACAGTTTCTCTTCTTATATTCTGTTTTCAAAACACAATCAGAATTTAAATTATTGGAAACTGCAGACAGCTTATTCTAACTATATTCTATGAGATTACTTTTTTATCACACCAATATAACCGCCAGAGAAGTGAGATATGAAAAATTCGCTAAAGAGAAAGAACAAAAATACAAACAATATGAAGTAAACCTGTAGTGACATTAAATTAATACCTGCTAAAATCTTGACAACACTAGTCTAGTGTATCCCCTTTAGACTGGTGAGGAAATATACCTATCTAGAAATCATTTAGTCAGGACCATCAGTCAAGTCAGTTATTTTGTATCAAGGCTTCGAAATTCCGATATGACATCCTAAATCGCTCATATACAGAAATATTCAAAAACGATACATAGATATAAATCTATTTTAACCTAATCACTATCTGACTAAGTGGAAAATAAGTTTACTTAACTCTCCGTATTCGGCTTCCTATGAAATTTCATTGGCAGGACAGGGACAGATTTTAATAACCAGTCTTTATGACAATGCTCTGCATTTAGCTCAATTTACTTTTGTATCACATCACTGTTAGATTTGGGTTAATAAATCAGATGAAAGTAGAATTCAAAAGGCGGAAGGAAATAATTTATTATAATCCACTGTGTTTTACTCCGACAAGTATGGATACAATTTATAAACAGATCCAATTGAAATGTTCTACCAATATGACAGATTGCTACACCTGTTACCGTAATTGCCTTCAGTGTATGCGATTTCGGCAAACTGCTTCACTTACTTACGTAAAGAATCAATAAATATAGAATTTTGAATAAAATGAACCTGTACTAGACAACCATTAAATGTATTATATGTATGGTTTTGAAATACGAAATTTAGCGTGAGACTTATGATTGTTATCAGACTTGTTTTCTTTACATAATTAGTAGGCTTTAGTGTCTCATTATTTATCCATTTCGTTTATTCTTGTCAGATGTTTTTTTCTCTATTTGTAAGTGTTCTAAATGGAAAGTAGGGTTTCAAGGTCGGACTTTGAAGTTTCAATGGTGTTTCATTACTCGGGGTAAGATCTAGCCTCATACCCAACCTTGCTTGTTTTCCGCGCTTACTACCAGCCAAGGGAGGTTTAGGAGTGCATCAGTCCGGCAGTTGGGCCCTGAATCATGGGCATAGTTGGTGAATATTATAACACTGAACCAATGAAGCAAAAACGAAAAGATAGCTATCAGAGGAGAAAGTCCTCTTCATGATGATTTCATTTCTAAAGTAATATGATAATATTTTTATGTGGATTAGGATTGATAAGGACAGTCATTTCCGTATACACGTTACAAATATTTACAGTCAGCAGAAGTATTAAAGCCCTTGAATCACTAGTGAACTAGAAGATGTAATAGGTGCAAATTGAAGGTGAAGTAAAATCTGGATCTCGGCAGGATTTGAACCATCGAACATCAAACTGCTAGTTCTCTGCTGCATAAGATGAACTATAAGCCCTAACCACCCATCAGATCAGCATTTTACTGCAATCACCACAGGTAATGGTCCAGCTATAGTAATAATAAATTGTAAGTGACTTTCCATCTAATAATATTACAATATCTGTCCAGCTAGATCCTCTTCTGCCACTCCTAATCATACTAAAGAGAAGGATAGGAGATTGTCGATTGCTGATGAAAGGAGGACCTAGTTAGCAGATAGGTCTCTTAGCCCTGGTATTATAGCACTAGGCTTGTGAATCTAATCCGGAAGACGCAGAGATTTTCACTTCACTTTTAATCATCACATCAATAGTCATCTGCCAATCCAAGGGTGATCTAGATCATAAGGCTACTTACTACTCAGTTACAAGACTTTGATTGAGTAAAGGTAAAGATTGCATTTTGCAAAACATTGTGGCTGAGTGTTCTGTTGTTCAACCGGACGTAGTCACGAGCCTTTTTGCAGACTTCAGCTAATATTGAAAATAATAATGAGATACATCAGATTCTACGTGGTCTGAATGTTTAAAAACATAAGCTAATGAGTTCACAATCTGTTCTGTTCAACAAAGATGCAATGTGCTCTTAAGTGTGGCAGTATTTGTTTATTGTCTAAAATCATACTTTAACAGTGAACACAGAACGCAAGTATATAATTAGTCCGTTTTGAAGCATCAGTAATAACTACTTCATTAATTTGTAATGTTCATCTTCTTTATGTGTGTAAAAGTTGAACATCTATTTATTCATTCAGGTCCATCTATCTTTTTTGGTTAGGATTTATGCATATTATGACTTCGTTTCTTAAGTATAATTACCTTTGACTTATTAAGCCATGTGTTTTTTTAACCCATAGACACGCCACTTATGAGCATTCCTTAATATGTTTTAGTGTTACTCCACCCTTCTGGATGCCTTCAGAAAGTTGGTCTAGTTGTTCCGAAGAATGTGGTGAAGGTATTGAAAAGCGTAGATTTTTATGTGTTCAAAATGATCATTACAATGCAACCATCCTATTAGATGAATCACAGTGTACACATTTACCAGATCCTGTTATGCAAAATATAGAAGTTCATCAAAGAACATGTAAACTTGGTCCATGCGGTAAAGGATACCGTTGGAAAGTATCAAATTGGGGTCATTGTTCACAAACATGTGGTGGACTAGGTGTAATGTCACGTGATGTACAGTGTATTTACTCAGGCAAAGATGGTGATCTTGTGATGTCAGATTTTGATGCAGCATATTATTGTGGAAATTATCGTCAACCTGAAAGACATGCACCGTGCAATAGATTTGCATGTAAACCTGAATTTGTTCCTGAAAAATGGGGTAAAGTAAGTTGGACTATATTAATTTTACTGCATTTGATGAACATAAATATAATCAGGATAACCTTAAATAAGCAATGACATTCCATGTGAACGCATCTATTTCACTGGAAGTTAAATTAATGCGAGATTACATTCAAAAAAAGGAGTTAGGTGTAGAAACAGTGAGAAAATCAAGTGAGAAGATCGTGCTTGTACATTGTTATCGTCTTGGGAAATAGACCGTGCTCGGAACATTATCGAGTTATTGACGTACTTCATCAGTTTGTGTAATAACTGCTTCTTTTCTTAAAATCAAAATGCTGAAAATTATATTCCGCATAAAAAACAGCGCTTAAACTAAGGTAATCATTATAGTTAAGCGATTATTTTTATTACTGTTGTTATTAAGAGGAACCGTAAATATATTGTACCACTGTAAAAAAAATTTCTAGAATATCTCCAACAGCTTCCTAATTCTTGTTTAGTTTTTTCGTAGCCTGTAACCACTGAGCATTCATATTTACTCCACTGATTAAACCATTTTTAGTAAACGTAATGAAATAATGTTACAAACTGGCCTAGACACATTATTCTGCATACACAAAGTATAGTAACAAATAATGGCTAAATAGGGGTGTTATATTGGCGTTAGGCGTTTGAAGGAAGTCTTTAGGAAACCATGAATTTAGGTTCCTTGCCTGTTGACACTCGCCAACAAGGAGTATTCGCAACGTTGATGAGCCCCAAAAAGCACGAGACCTAAATCCAAAGCATCCTGCCAGTTCCCTTCAACCATGATGGCGAGTCATACAACTCGGCGGATACAATTCAGTTAGCATTTACATGAAGGGTTACACGCATGATATTAATTACTGCCTGGTGATCAATCCGTGATTACATTAACTGTTTGCATTTACGCCTACATATCTACAGTCCGCTAACTGACGGGTATGAAACTAAATTTGTGGTTAAAGTAAAGCATTTTCAAAAGTTAACAAACTGGGACAAGCTGTCACATTAACTAGATACAAAGCTATGATTTATACAAATATATCTAGTAAATGTCCTTAACGGACTAAAGAGATTGAGGTTAACAGCCTTTAAATTTCCAAACAGCGATTCCTTAAATATATTCAACGATTTTCCCAAGTTGTGTATTGACTAGCGATAGGTTTTTAAACAAATCGCATAGATTTATGTAAAAATCATATTTGTAAAATCTCAGCAAAACTGAAATAAATAATTCCAATGTCCAACTAGTCGGAACTTAATCAATGAAATAATAGATTTGTAAGTGGTTAATAGTTTATCAATGTCTAAATACGCAAATGTGAGCAATTTAATATAATGGGAGTAAGGTGAAAGTAGAGTCAGTATGAGTATGCAGAAAGATGGGAATTAACGGTGATTTTATTGACTTAATGTACAGACGAATCATAATATAAGCATTCTGTCTTCAGATATTCAATGTGCTAAAAGCCATTTAATGCAGTGGTTATAAAAATGTAAGTAAATAGTTGACTGTGACTCCATTGCTTTTAAACTATTCTGCTTGCAAGTGTCCCAGACTTCTGTTATAGGCTCTTTTAGCTAAACTGATGTACTCTTAATTGTTAATCATTCCTAAAGTTCCGAGTGAAACATAGTACTTCCGCAGTACATCTTCACTGCACTCACCCTCTGAGATTACTTTCAGCTGGTTTCATGACTTCGCCACAAGCTTTCATTCCTTCTTCACATGATCTTCTCCGTGTCACTTTCAGACAGTTAACCTGTCACTTTTTCCATTATTAATCTCTGTGTTAATTTTACCGCGTAAGGTTTCCTAATGAATGTTTAACCCCACAAATTACTGACAAAGTAATTTAATTTGCTTATTTTAAAACTGAATAAACTTGGGACAATAGATGTAAATAGAAATTAATCCCATTTTCTTGCTCTTATTCAGTGTATTCAAAGTGATCCATGCCGTCCAGGACGTCAAGTACGTCAGTTATCGTGTATATCTTTACAAGCTAACGGATCACTTCGTGAATTACCTATGGCAGCTTGTTATATGAATGGAAAAACAATTCATCCAACATGGCGTCGATGTTTTGAAGAAAGTTCAAGAAAATGTGATAGTAAACCACCGATGATAAATACTGATACACTGACTATTGTTCAAATGAGAAAAGTAATGTTATTATTTTTTTTAAACTGCTTTAATGTGTTATTATTTTATTAAATTATTGATTCGTAGTTAGATTGCTTCATAGGTATTGTTGAGATCGTACTGATGTTTAAACAGAAAATACTGACAACTCAGATATAACGAAACATACATCCTGGGTTCTACCGCTAGCTGCCACTAATCGAATACCATAGCTTTTAACTCCAGACGCTATCGAAGGGTCTGTAATGGCGGCCGATGGGTCAACAGACACCATACACTTCGGTCCAATAAAAATCAGTCAGTGGGAAATAACAGAATATTTTGAGCAAATTATTATTCTCTAGGATTTCGAGTGGAAAATAGGGCTTCAGTAGCACATCACCATTTCATCCCATTCTCTACACTCTTCTATAGCGGGCTCCACGATTACCTGTTAGCTCTCATTTCCTCTCCACATGACCGCCTCCATGTCATCTTCGGATGCCAAACTCGCTGTTTCCCATTCGAGGGTCTGGCGTATGATATCACCCAAAGGTCTCTTCAGTGTGTGTTCGATCCTCCTCCACTTTCTTTAGTATATACTTTTTGGGCAATTGATTCATAGTTGATTCGTCCCCAGAATTCCTCATAGCTATTCCTCATAGCCTTTCATACTGGACATTTGATATCCAGTATGGAACAAACAAATAACAAAGGAATATCTACGGCTAGATGTTAGAGCCAATAGTGTCTATTTTATCACCGCTTTATCTTTTAATAAACCTTTGTTCATCAGTAAATACTGTGTTGACATTTAAATTCTTTTGTGTACGTGGTTTTAGCATTTGCAGTGATATTTCCCAATTTTGTTTAATCCAATGTGTACACATCAGTCATTTGTGAACTTCCCTGTTGTTTACTTAATATGTAAATTTTATTGAAATTCATGAGGGGGAATAACACATAGTATCATAGATAAAGATGTTAAAGAAAGTAAATGCAGAATATTCTTACTGAGGTGTCGATACACACATGTATTGGTTTCCAGAAATTCGGTCACGAACTGACTTCAGCTAGAGAACCATTGAAAACCACGGAGTACTGAGCCCCTACTTCATACTAGTTGGGAACTCTTCATCAGTACGCACTCATGACCCCACCAGGGATCGAATCCAGGACTATAAGGTTACGATGCGAGTTTTATGACCCCTCAGCCACAATAGGTCATGCACTCTAGCCTCTACCAATCTACGATATATAATGCAACTGCCAGCGACACATTAAGAAATTATACCAATTGCCTATGTAAGTTTTAACTTACTAACTTGTTAGTTGTTATAGCATGCTATCCTGAGTATTTAACACACCCAATGAAATGAATTAGAAAAGACTGACCTCTTAAAGTTCCGCCAAGCTATTAAAATTTAATAATATACAGTGGGTGAGGCGGTGGTTCACTGGTAAAATGCTCGTCAACCACTCATGTGGTTCGGGTTTGACTCCCTGCCGACGTACTGTTAAAACTCCCTTAGCCGGTAGTAAACCCGATGAGGAGGGAAGGTTCGGCTTGAAGCTAGCTACTCTACCGTTTCATCCGGAAGAATGCAAAGTAAAGTAATGAACAGTCACAATCTTAATTTGAAGGAACAAAAGTATACATTAATTAGCCCTTATAGAATGAGTAGTTATAAACTTCAGAAAACATTGAGAACGACATAAATCATGCTATCTTAAAATTGACTTTCAGATACAGGACACCGAGTAGACGCATTGGGATAATTCAAAACAGTTAAAAGACATAAAAGTAGCTCAAGTCTTTTTCGATTTGCACATATGTGCGGTAGTTCAAGTCGCCACACTCCATGTAGCACACAAAGGAAGAGAAGAAAGTAGGAGAAATGCATATTAGAGACAGTAAACAGAGGTGTGAGACAAAGGTATAGTAATAACGAAGAACAAAACAGTTTAATTGGAAATCATAAGTTACAAGGAGTGGATGCATCTGCACCATTGAGAACGATTTTGAGCCATGTCGCCAATTGTTTTTAACCATTGGTTTTTACTGTCCCGAGGACCCCAACCAGGAAGTCTACACCTTCCTACGTGGCCTAGACTAATTGTTGTGGATTTCATTGACTGATACCGTGTTTTCGTTTGACCGCCGCTAGCTCTTTTCCAGCCTGACCCTATATCAGCTAACATTGCCCGTCGAGGAAGGCGATGACTAGGCATACGTAACACATGTCCTAACCATCTCAGTCGAAGTAATTTCACAGACTCGTCGATTGATTTCCCCGCCTTACCTAGCACTCGACGCCTAACCTCAATATTGCTCACCTTATTATACCACTTCACGCGGGAGATAGAACGCAGACACCTATGATCGAAGACAGCTAATCTTTTCATGTCTTCTGCTCTCAATGGCCAGGTCTCACAGCCATAAAGGAGGACGGAGCGGACTTATGAGCAGTACTCACACGCCCTTTGGTCGATGGTCGGATATCACGTCTACTCCAGAGGCGGCGTAAACTGGCATATAGGAAACTAGCCCTCTGTATCCGTGCTGAGATTTCGTCAGAGATCAACCCGTTGGGGCTGATGGTACTTCCCAAATAAGTGAAGCGGTCAACGTGCTCTACCACTTCATTTCCTATTTCTAATCTAGGGATCGGTGTAGTCCTTCTGGACTCTAATCTCTGTATTACATCGTCATCTTTTCATATGACCTCTTTCACAACGATTTTCAATCTTTTCTTATCTAACTACGTAACTGTTACCAATCTTTGTTATCACCCTAATAACAAATTTGTTAATTATTCTTGGAGAAACTTCTACCTAACAAGATATATATATATATATATAAATTGTAATACTTCAGACACCTTGACATCCTGATATTTTATTTCACCATGACCCTCTTACAGTATGCCTGTTGATATACAAAATTATGTTCAAACTGTAGACTGACTTATTTTATTAAAGATTATGGCCTACGCAGCTGATGAGAACCAACGAAGTAAAATGTATCCGTGTTATTCTTCACCAATGTTTGTTCTTTCCCTGTTCAAATTTCGGTACATAAGTATAGTTGTTTTGTGACCATAATACATCTAGTTCTATCATATTGTTAAAGCAAATCTAGAATGCTGTTTATTAACCAAAAGCACACCAACCTCATTATACTGTTTATCTGAGAGTTGCTACCTTTCCTACAAGTAACTATACCTACGTTATTTAATAAAGCAAAGTGGAGGACATTAGTTAAAGCTTTATCGTAAACTATGGAGTATATTTTAAATATTCACTTAGGACTGAGTTAATCAGAATAGATTCTTGATGTGTGTGATAGTCACTGACATTGACCACTTTTCCAGGCTTAAGTGTGTGAAGCAGGATTCAAACCGGGAGTTCATTCTAGATGGCATTGCATTGTATATAGCTCTCCACCACTAGAAGCAAAATGATACACCGCTTCACACATACCATTTCAATACATTAACTGCCACTACTAATTATTATTCTACAAATATACAATCACATAATGTTTATTAAAATTAACACAAAAAAGAAAAGGATTATATGAAATAAAAATCATATGGTGTGTGGTGAATATGTAAAGTCAATATGTAAGAATTTATTAGGACTATGGGTGTTTTCCTTCAAGTTTCAAGCTAGAATGAGTATATAGTGTGGTATAATAAGTGATATACTCATTTAAACAACCATCTTATCTTTTTGTACCTCAGACTATTTCTCTAAAGTTTCACATTTCTTTAGTTTATATCATTTTATTTGGTGTCTGTTTACAAGTGTTATAACTTCCATTACCATGGAAGACTGAGTGAACTTGGGTTTTCTGCATAAAATTAGCTATATGATAGCAGTTATTCTAAAAAATAACTAGATGATGCATACAACATACACTTGATAAACCCATTTTACATCACTGTATTCAGCTTAATAACTAACGTTTAATTTTTATCCTTCAATAACTGAACATTTTTACAGCTAATTTCTTCATTGTACTTCAGGTAAAAGTGATCGATCTGAAGGTTGGTCAACAAGCATTCGTAATACCTTATACGCGCGTTACTGTACGATGTCCTGTACAGTATTTTACAGCTCAAGAATTACAGTGGGCTAATCAAAACCATGGAATATTAGCCTATACAGGGGCTATTTCAGATCGTATCAGGGTGGATAAACGAGGACGACTGCATATAAGAAGCTTTCGGCTAATTGACGAAGGTGATTGGACGTGTATAGCTGGAACAATGAATGCAACAGTCACATTAACTGCTAGAACTCCAGCAGCAGGTTTTCATGATTGGGTGCAAAGAAACAGACTATGGACAAAAGGAATGCTTAGTGATGATCCTAAGGCAATAGCTGTGAATCATGAAATTATTCAATGGGTTGTTGGACCATGGAGTACATGTTCAACTAGTTGTGGTCAAGCAGGACAACAATTTCGTGTAGTAAGATGTGAAAAAGTTGACAGTCGGTTCTACCAAATATTAAGTGATCAGGTTTGCGACGATAAACTACTTCCGAAACCACCAAGTACAAGAAAATGTTTGGAAAGTAATAAATGTCCTTCATGGGTCATTGAGAACCCCGACACTTCCATTGTAAGTTATTGTTTTAATTACCACTGTTTTTGTAATTTTACAGTTGCATACGCATTTGTCAACTGTATACCGAAAGCTTCTGGTGATACCTTAGTTTTAAACTAGAAATATTTTGGCTGATTTTATCAGGATAACTAAAAAAATATCCTGTTATTCAAACTTAGTAATTGGAAGTTCAATGGCAGAATTCTCACCAGCCACGCAGGAGATTAGGCTTCGACTCCTCCTCCTCTTCCTCCTCCTAGTTAACTACCGAGTTGGAAGCTCAGAAAAGGGGGAAAGTTGGACATGGGATTAACGCCGTAGTAAAAACTACACCGTGGCTACTGAGAGTCCAAAGCAGTGCAAAGAACGAAGAAAGTTGGAGGCGAATGACTGAAGTTGTCTTTTTCCTTAATCAGCAGTCTTCTTCCATGACTAATTCGGGTTATACCGACTTGAACTCAAACTCGCAGCTTTCTTCCTGAAAATAAATATCACACTTCCCTGATGACTAGATTAATAGGAATATCCTTTGACTAATTCAGATGACCTACTACGTAACTTGTGCGTCAATAGCTCACCAGTAAATTCAAAAGTTCAAGCCCTATGTTCCACTTGGAAAACAAAGGAACGGAGGAAAAAAATACACAACTTCACTTGTGCTTACTGTCTGAATATGACTGTTATTCTGCAGTGATTAGGAATTCCTTAATGAGAAATGTAGGACTGTTGTTCAGAATAAGATACTTATGACAAGCAGAGAAGTCCGACTACACTAAAAAGTAACTAAGCCGATAGTACTGAGCTACAGTGATACAAGTATCATAAAAAGACGCAATGAGTAGTACGCTAAAAATAGTATTGCAAATCAAAAACCATGGTGATGTATCATACAAGGAACCAACTCGTTTTTGTCTGAGTCGGTGAGTTATTGGGTGGTAGCTGAATACAAGTGTCAACAGCTCGCAGATATAGCACTGTCAGTACATATCTTTACTAACATTTCAAATCCACTTGTGTACGACAGTTCAGTATGACAATAGACACTCCCGGATAGCTTACAGCTACTTCACATAACGTCAATAGTATTACAAATGTTTTATACTTAGCATCTCTTCAATTTACTTCACAAGTTTTATTTTAAGTAACTCAGCTATAGTGACCACCCAATAGACTGTTTTATTTTAATGTCAATACGTTTACATATAAACGGGTGACACATCTAGTGGACTTTGAATATAACAACCAGTGGAATAGACTATTATGGACACAAAGATACAACATTCAAATGTGAGTCATCATATATGAAATTTATTATTACATTTATTATAAACAGTCATGTCAGATAATTTTTTTATCTTTGATGAAATTTCCCCTCTTCGAACTGTGTAAAATGCAAATTTTGTTTATCTTAACAAACTCAGAAATAACCATTTTGATTTTTCTTCTTTCTTCATGTGCGTGTGTCTGTGTTTACAAAACTTCAAGTGTACAGACCGTTGTCTAGATGTTGGTAAAGGTTCAATCGGTGGGAATCTAATCTGTATGATTGGTGAAAAACAAGTCGCTACAAAATACTGTGACAAAATTGATAAGCCAAATATGGAGTGTGATAATCCTGTCTGTCAGGTTCGATGGAATGTCAGTAACTGGTCTCAAGTAAGTAATCTACGCTGTTGAACTAAATTTCTCTAGGCTGTTAAATAGAAATTTTTATTACTCGCAGTATTTGTAAATGTATTTCTATTGCCCTACACAAAGACTGTCTAGTAGGACTGAAATTATCCTGCGGATGTTTTATGCGTTAAGATAAGCACAGAACTCGACAAACAACTTTACAGAGGGTTATGATAACTTCGGTAGCAAATAGACAAACAGATACATACCAACTTAGAATCTCGCATTACTTAGTTACATATTATATTAAGATGCTTCGGAACAAATACTTTATTATGATGGTTATATTATTCGTCCCTTGGGTTATTAATTAAAAAACAGGGCTTCAAAAGCACGTCGCCATATTTCTCCCTGTCTTCTGCAGTCCTTTTTACCTAACTCCACGAGTGTTGAAAAGTTTTCGTCTCCTCCCCAAACGACCCCTACCATGTCACTCTCGGACGCCCTACTCATAGCTTCCCAACCACTTTCTAATCCAGGGTCCGAAGCGTGATTTCATGCAATGGTTTCCTCAATGCGTGTCCATCCCATCTCCATTTCTTACTGCTTAGCCTTCTTGGCCGGATGGCCATCTGATCTTCTGTATCGAGAGAAAGCAGCTATCAATGAAAGTCTGCGTCCCCAGAAAATCAGTCCAACCGCTAGAGAAAATTCAAAGCAAAAGAAGTACTTTACCATGAACCAATTCACAAACGTGACACAAAGAACAGAAAAGCATCTTGCGTGTTCACTGTCTTAAAACTGAAACGATTGATCAACTATGATGTATTAATTTATCACCTATACATGCCAATTTACAAATCATCCGGATATTAGAAGTTTGTTACAAAAGCATACATACAAACACCAAATTGTTAAGTTAATTTAAATTTCTTGTTGATTGATTACGCTGGAACGAATGCTTGGTCTCTGAAGGACTACAATCTCCATGGGAACACAACCAGTCTTTAAGGAGGGATGCAGGACCATCTAGCTGACTAGTCCCAAATAGGATTAGACAAGAATCCTGGATTCCATCGCTAGTCACCATCAACCGAAATAAACAACAAATTGTTGGAAAATTGTCAGAATTTATTTATTTCCCTATCTTAAATGTATGCAGAATCTGTATAAACAGTTTCATGCTATACCTTAGAGCGTAACTTCTGTAATAAAGCCAAACAATATAAATCTAACTAGAGAAGTAAAAACACTAAGTTGTGTGTCGGCGCGGTGAATAAAGCAGTAGTCAACTTTGGACCAATGCATCACTAATCAGTAACTGTTTCAACTATTAACGTTTAGACGGTTGAGTAGTATAATCAGCTCAAAAACACATGCAAACAATTCATTTCACGTATCAGACTGATGATAACTAGTCAAATGTATCGAAATAATAGTTGTATTTAAAGTTGATCCTTGAAGAAGGGAAAGTAGCTGACCCAGAGGAAAAACACTGATCGAATAAAATATGAAGTAAAGTAAAATTTTCGAAATGATTCTCTAAAGTAGGTGGATTTCAGCATATCTGATCAAATTCTACTAGTAATGCAAAAAACTACTGATCGCTGGCCCATAAAAATAATGAATAAATATCATACTGAGAAAAACATACTGTTATATTCATACATTTTGACCTAGAAATACTTTATTAAACTAAAATATCCTTCATCCCTACAGAAGAATATTTCACAACAGAAATGAAAGCTCCACAATTGTTATCATGTGAATCAAGACAAAAACTAATAGTCGTTAAGCCCATCTTTAGCATATATATATATATATATATATATATATATATATATATATATGACAGTTACATTCTCATTTACAGATATCTCTTATTAGAATCGAGTGTTCCGTGTACCCAGTTGTGAGCCACAGTTAATGTGTATGAGTTTATCATACTAACCAGTTGCACAGGTTCAAGAAAGTGGAAACTACTTCGAAAAATCGAGGGCTTACGTCAGTTAGCTACATCTCCAAAATTTAAAAGTAGCAATTATTTTTTTCTTTTTATTTTGACAGTAAACAGCCAACCAAAAGTGATTCATACATTACTCTACCGCTATTTTATTTTGGTTTTTTTCTTCATTTAGCACTCTTTTTAAAGCAATTTACTGTGTGTGTTTTTTACATCTCTTTACTTTAGTGCTCACGTTCATGTGGTGGAGTTGGTGTTCAAGCTAGACATCTTTTATGTACTTGGTCACATAACGGTGAATTAGCAGGTTCACTATGCTATTCACATCAACTTGCTATTCCAGATGTGATACGTTCATGTGAGGTCCCACCATGTAAATTGGGTAAGCATAATAAATTGGATCAGTGTGCAGCTTTATTGTTTAATAATAATAATAATAATAATAATAATAATAATAATAATAATAACAATAACAGTCTTATTCTGAAAAATTCGTTTAAAACATAGTACAGAATTTTTAGCTAGTTTTATTACAAGGTATTTACTTCTTGTTCAGGATCTCCAAATAATATAATAATGAATAGTGCATCACTTGAAGTAATATCGTTCCACTCAAAGTCCGTTCCATTACTCTGTGAAGTTCTTCTTCTATTTCCTTCAAAAAATTTGTGGCAGTTGGTTGAAGTGTTTTTGATAGTGCGCATGAAGGAAGTTCACGATTGATTTAAGCAGACCACTTCTTCTTACCACCAGGGTATATTTGTTTAAGCTCAATAACTCAGAACAAATTTCTCATGTAGCGTGCTAAGAGATACACTTATAGCGTGAAAGTTGATAATGCTACACAACTGTCCAGAGTGAAGTAGATGGAGTGGGAATCGAATCCGTGACCTATCCTCTGAAAACCAAGTGCTGAAGCCAATGATTCACATCTCAAAAGATGATCATAGAAGGATAATATAAGACATAAAGATGTCTTTAATGATGGTGATTTAATCTAAGAGTATTTATTACAGGGAGTTATGAGTTCAGTGTTTAACAAGGTTGAGAAACTAAATTCACCAATTGTCCACTTATCAGAGTACACACAAAACTTGTAACCTATAGGTCTCATGTTCCGACGTCGCTGTGTTTAACTCGTGGACACCAACCAAGTATTTTATAATAAATACGAAATAGATCTGTAGAAGTCATGAGAATTACCATCGGTTTGCTTTCCCGATAATAGAAATTGGACAACACAATCCGACAAAGTCGGAAAAATGGAAATCGACTATGCTATGTATAAACTAGTTTTCGTTCTTTTGCGTTCCGAGTTGAACATAGACTTCAAGCTACAACTTTTACGTTTCAGTAGTGGTAGCGTTGCTTTTAGAGAGTTCGAGCACCTAGCGTCACACTTAACCCAGGCGAGTGAACTAGGCGACGTTCAGGCGTACGTAAGCCAAACTGGACCACTTGCGTGTCTAGCAAACATCCTACCATTGAGTCACTGACCCACCCAACTATGTGTATGAATTAATTTTAACTGTAAATAGAACGGAATAGATTTTACACTATCTACCTTCCTTTACTGTTTCCAAATATTTCTAGGTTGTGTGGATATGTCAAAACATTGTCCAAAAAGAGTAGAACTATGCAAATTTACAATATATCGTTATCAATGTTGTGAATCATGTCAACGACATCTACAAATGATTTCATCCGTAAAAGACACTTTAAAACTATTTCAAAAAGAGGAATTCTCAAACATTCACTTTCGTAATGAATAGACACACATCCACAAACAAACAAACACACACACACAAACAGAATAAGTGCATTTATTGAAAAGTACAAAGACGATAGAAGGAAATAATAATAATAAAACAGTAGATGCAACTAATTATTGACATAATTGATTCACCTCAGGGTTTTGAGCAAATAATGATCAAAACAGATTCTTCGTCTTATTCACCATCTTCTCTTTTTTCTTTTTGATTCTGATATAAAAATGACCAGTACTACTACCATTTTATATCTAATCTCATCTCATTCGCATTCGCATTTATACATATATGTAGACAAAAAAAACACTTTTAAGGCAAACCTATTTAAGCACAATCAAATCTTAATATAAAACAACAACCGGTGCCCAGCATCCGTACTATGTCCTCTCTACCGCCATCCCTTCCCATGATCCATCGAAGTAAATGTGCACAAATGACAATATAGATAAAACAAGCACTACATACGCGAATAAATTTTAAAAAAAATAACAATTATCAACATATATATTATTCCTTTGAAATCAGAAAAGAAGAGTTTCTTTTCCAGAAAAATGTTATTTCATCCACAAACCAAAACATAAAACGATGAAATTAAACTGAAGAGCAGATTTTATTGACTATCATGCATTACTACACAAACACACACACACACACATGCACACACACGCGCATACACAACGCACACACATAAATAACCTGTTTGTACAAATTGTACATACACAAGTCTAAGTACGAGAGAGAGACCAATTTATATTTATTACTTTTTATTTAACAAAAGATTTGTCAAACAAAAGAGAGTTTTTCTCCATACTTACACATATTCAGTTCTACAAAGAAGACAACACACACACACGCACATGCACAATACACAATAAAGTAAAACCAGAGTAATATTAAAAGACAATTTTTCTTGTTTCCAATACAGACTACTAATATTACTTATTATTGTTATTACCACTATAATTATTGTATAATTGCATCACCAAGTGTTTGAAGTATTTCAAAATTATATGAGAGAAAAAAACAGTACAAAAAAAGCAGTCAGTAGCTGACGGAAAAGGAGTTTACGCACAAAGTTGAAAAATACACCACTCTACACGAACATATATACAGGCTGACATAAACAATATACACACATTATAATGACACTACAATATAACATGAATTAGTAATGAGAGAAAATATTAACGATACTCTATGTCAAGAATTCATGTCGCTTTAATCAAAAAATAATCAAAGCTCATATAAACAAACTGACTTACTGTTGCTCTGCATACATATGTTGTTCTCCCCCTCCTATGTTCTTGTTGTTTGTTTTTTTATCATACTTCTATTATTACTGTTGTTATTATTACTATCGACCGATAGTAATGTTATTAATTGTAAGTTATTCAGCTACTGAAACACGATATATACGCATAAGAAAATATGGTCAAAAAAAAAGGAATATAAACACGTTTGTAGAGGAAATGAAGAGTCGGGAGTGATTTTCGATGAGAAAAAATTACCTTTTCGGTATGATTAACGAGTGGCTGGTTAAAAATATAAATTGAATTTTGTAATTTCCGAAATTACTAAGCTGATTTAATGCATTACCAGTTCGAGCAGGTAGTTAGTCACAAATCGGGTGGTTTGAATTGATTCAATTGTCCGACCTGAACCAAACTAGATGTAATACTGCTGATGCAGCTTAACTACAAAAGAGCGACATCAGCGTTCAGTGTTTAGATCATCTCAATGTAGCTAGCAAGAACTACTGATTGATACCATTGGTATACAACAAATCATCTCAATCAATCACTAGTATGTGGTCTTACACATTGAAATTACTAAATGCCTGGAATTTGGAAGTATATCATCTAATTGGACAATAGATTGCATTTCAATGAGTCACTGTTAGGAGAACCACTACTTGTCAAATCAACTTTGATCACGGTCTAATATCAGTTAGAGAGCCACTGTAAAACAAGGAATACTAGACAGCCTTGTCGTCCGAGTTCGGGACTTGTCAGCTGTACGCATCCAGGACCCTACGGAGGATCGAACCCAGGACGCTCAGGTTATGAGTCGATTGTAAACTGATAGATAAATATTACCATGTAGTCTTCGATAAAGATTTTCTCAACCTTCTCTTCTACATAGACACTGGTTTTTTAAGCCTTTTCAGCAGAATAAGTAAAAGCCTCTAGTTACATTTTCCACGCATGGAACTCTTCTGTACTGCATGTTCTAATCACATACTGTCTTCAGCAAACAGTTGAATGCAAGTGCTTTCAGGAATGCGTTCCAATTTTGATCACAGATTAACATCAGTTAGAGAGAGAGTACTGCACAGCTGTTTTTTTTCTCCATAGGTGTCTACTGTCGAAGAGTTTCAAACTGAAACAAAACAGCTGTCCAATACTCCCTGGTTTGCATTGGTTCTCTAACTAATATCGATTCGTGAACAAATATGAAACCAATGAAATCCCTACAAACTAACATTTGAAAATTGCGAAATTTCTGACTAACCGGCAGTCACAGTTTCTGTCTACTACAATATAACACAGGCCTGGTTAATTGCTTATTCAAGAGGATTCACAGTATTTGTCCAGCTGATGTTGTATATAATGACAATAAAATATTGGTGGATACAACTGTTGATAACGCATAACCTTCGAATTTTTCGGGCCAGTGAAGAGATCAGATTGTCCCAAAGCCTAAAAATTTATTCCGTCCCAAAGAAAGATATCTACATCAGAGACTAAATTCAGACACCTGTAGAACTTACTACGCAGCCCGGCTTATAATAATCAAAAGAAGCCAGAAACATGTTTAACCACAAGTTTCAACATTGCAAAAGTCATTGTTTAACATTCCATACTTTATAGCATTTTATATGTATGTAAGTGTGGTTATGCATACATAGTGGGGAGTAATCGTGCTTTGCATATAGGGGTGGGATAACATACTATTAACTGTGGTCCGCTTAGATCAATGGACAATCAGAATTTCCATCCATCAAACTGCTCAAACTTTTCTGTATTTTCTTATTGTTTCAATCATGGAATTATATCAAATGATCAATAAATGACCTCGTGCGCACATTTAATTAGTTTCCAACAGAATGCTGTGTAATTCTTGAAGGAAATGAAGAGAAAATGTACAGAATCGGTTTTCCCGAGGTATGTAATAACACTACTTCACATGATATACTTCAGATCATTACCTTAAATGTAAATCCTTTATGAAGAGGAAATATTTTGGAACTAAATACGTTGAAAATGACTCCTTCACTTTCTTCTTGAAGTGCACAGTAATAGGTTAGAAGCCAATTAAAGAATTGTATGACCTCACGCGGCGATCAAAATATTATAATTGGAAGATTAGTACAAAAAGAAACTGAGAAAAGTAGATGCACTATGCTGGATGGAAATTTAATTAGCCCAGTAGTTCAAGTAGGTCGCCAATGGCAGTCTAACTGCTCAGTGAATGGAAATACAATTGATTGCTGTATTGTGTTACACCAGAACTCCGTTACCCCAGATAGATCTGTCAAGTATTAAACTAAGAGCCACACTTATTGCGTGTGAAGGTTGATGATGCTGCCCATCTGCTCAGGCGGAAGAAGGTGAAGCAGGACTCGAAACCAGGACCCACTGGGTGGAAATCGAGTGCTTACACAAATTACCTACACATCTCAATAATTTATTGCTAAGAACCTACATACAGGAATATACTGAACACGAACATCATCGCTTTCGGTCGTATACCCCTACATCATGATAATTAATGATTAAAAGAACGAAAAACGACTTGTACAGAAAAAGGTGGCATGTTACTAACTAGAACATTTATACGATTGAGTATTATTCTTTTGTGTTGTATGCACATGTACAAAGAAACACAACAGTATCAAAAGAATCACCAATATAACATAATCATAATAATTCATAAAAATGATTGTGATATTGTTATAATCACATGGAGAAATACTAAACAGTAGCAATAATAATAATAATCACAATAATGACATATAGAATCTAAAATAAACAGCAATCAATTGCATCATCACCACATATTAAGGAAAAATATCCAAAGGAAATTACTTAATCAAATGTAAATTATTAACAGTAACGCACCAGTGAAGGCAAGTAATAAACAAAGACAAGAAAAATAGCAAAGGAGAGGACACAATAGTTTAAGGTAAAAATTTAGCCGCATTATTGTTTGGTTAGGGATAATAGACTAGGTAATCGGAAAAGGCTACAAAAACGCGCCTTCATTGCTTCAAAATGCTCTCTATGGAAATAGAAGAGAAATAGATTTAATGTTCCTTTTATTTCTCTAGATAAAATAAGAATATTTTGGAGTTTTTATTAGATTATTGTTGGTATTATTTTGATTGATAAAAAATTGAAGGTGCAGTGAATAATAGTGTTCCATTTTGAATTGTATGCGCAGGTGTGTGTGTGTGTGTGCGTGTGTATGCAGGATGATGCATCAGTTAAAAGAAATCACAATAAGCGGAACAAACAAATGCGCGATTACATGAAATGAATCTCATAAAGTAGATTTTTTTTCCCCTAAAGAAATAAACAGAAACAAGACTGACTATTACACAATATGAAGAAGTAATCGTGAAAGTAATGGAAGACCAGGTGGTGGTGGCGGCGTGGTAACATAATGGAAACAAATAGAAGAAATAAAGACAAAATCAAAAAGCAGAGTAATGTCTTATGAAAATGTTTGCCCATTTTAAAAAAAAAGAAACAAAATTTATCGTCAAATTAAAAATACAAGAAAGTTGGCACTGAGAAGGAGAAACTAGAGTTTTATAGCTGATTTGATAGCTTTAGCAATGCGAAAATCCTATGGAGATTGAATTCTAAAAGTTTTGAAAAAGTAAATGTAGGAATTATTATTATAATTTTGACAATAATGAAACTATGATATTACCAAAACATAATTTATAAAACTAATATAGCGAAAATATTCATTCAGACATCTATAAAACACAAAATAATTGAGCAAAGAATGTCCTTTTCGATAATTTCCTCTTCTGACTCTACAATTGTGTATGGGTTTATATACATAGAATATTTTAAAATAATCGTGATTGACAATATTGGTGTCTTTTAAATAATACCGATTTGTTAAGTAAGATCAATGGAATCGCAAATGCATAAATTATAATGAACATAAACATGTGATGGCAAATAGAATATCAAATAAAATAAGGGAAATTTCCACAACAAACTGAGGATCATTAAAATCTTGATAGCGAAGGTAAGGAAAGCGTCTGAACAATCTTTTGGGTGCATAAGTTAGGTTTCTTAATGTGGATGACAACGGTCTCAGCTCTTGTGGACCAGCTACGTAGGCCGTACAATTAATTAGGCGTGTTTCTCGTCGGATTTCCGAAAATCACCTCTCGTGGTTAAGTGAAGGACAAACAAAATCCATTCATAGCGCTATTCTATTTCATCTTGTGGATATAGAACACAAGATTGATGTTAACGAGGCTTTGAAAGTCACTTACCGCATACCAAATAATCTTAACTTCACTTTAAGAGTTCGTCTACTGCATATTGCTGAGACCGTTGTCATCCACATTAAGAAACCTAACTTATGCACCCAAAAGATTGTTCAGACGCTTTCCTTACCTTCGCTATCAAGATTTTAATGATCCTCAGTTTGTTGTGGAAATTTCCCTTATTTTATTTGATATTCTATTTGCCATCACATGTTTATGTTCATTATAATTTATGCATTTGCAATTCCATTGATCTTACTTAACAAATCGGTATTATTTAAAAGACACCAATATTGTCAATCACGATTATTTTAAAATATTCTATGTATATAAACCCATACACAATTGTAGAGTCAGAAGAGGAAATTATCGAAAAGGACATTCTTTGCTCAATATTTTTTGTTATTTCTAAAACTAATATACTTTGATTTTTCCCAGTGAATGAACTTGAATAAAGTAAAACCGATAAACCAAGCAGAATAATGCGATATTTATTTTATTCTCTTGATTCTTGGTCGACTGAATGACAATAACCCAAAACAATTTCTAACACCAATATCACATATACAAAATTTTCATATACTTTAGTTATTGAGCATAAAGATGAAGGCCATTAATATTACTTAATTTAAATGGTATAGTGAAAAGGAATAGAAGTTAGTACATATCGAAATAGTCACAAGAATACTCTATACTTAGGAAGTTGATTACAAATCTGTAACTAACAACACAAGTTACGCAAGAGTTAAATGGTTTAGCTGAGCAGAGGTCAAAAGATTGGTAAGGTCAAGAGTATGAAATAAAAACAAAACTAAGTGTATGGAATTACCTTGTAAAACTAAGGCATAAAGCTAAAATGAAATCATATATACTCCCCAGAGCAGGATTTCCTTCTGAATTCGCATAATACTATAGCCATTGACTTGGTAATGATACATTGGTTTTCAGGGAAACCAGCCGGTATATAGTTTAATTGTGTGACGTGACTACACGGTCGCTCTCCACCCCAGTTGTTACTCTCGCCCTACCATGATGAATATGTTTGATACTACTTTGATCTTTTTATTTTGTTGTATTTTGTTTTAACAACGTATTTTTATTCCCTCCAATTTGTTTTATTTATACTTTTGAACTGGCCATTTTTTCAC